CTACTAATGAGAGGTTGTTCAACTCGGGTCTGACTCAAGGTGTAAGGAAAAAGCCGTCTCCAATTACACTAAGGTAAAAGTTATTGCAGTATAAATTTGTTTGTGAACGTATCCTCCTGTCTCAAGTCAATTCATTAAAACAAGACTTGCTATACTGCTGAGTCTGCAAATTGCAAGACACCCTTACCAGCTTTAAACATCCAAGTATATCTAACCAGTCTGGTCCAAGAATGTCTTTGTTTAAATTACTATGCCGAAATGAATGATGTTTTCGAATATTTGATGGTATCAGCAGTGTATACAGCCAAGTGACTGTCATTAATAAATAGTGTAGACAGGACAGGACGGAGCATTAGAGCTGTAAAGTGCAGGTGGACTATTTTAATCCAGCTCATCCATCATGAATGTGACGATGGACTGAAGGAGAATATGTGCGAGAGGGGATGGAGAGATGGGCCTCAGATAAAGAAGAGCAAGACAGTTTTGCATACAGATACTGAATGCATTTCAGATAGCACACACACTCTACCTACTGTGACATTCAATAACCTCCAATAGTCAAGAGATAAAAAATTGAGATGTAGACAGCCATTTCAAGTCAAGTAACTTAGAATAGTGAAAGGAAGATGAAGGGCTTGCGTAATATACAGTATACTATGAAGAGGTCACAATGAAAGCACTTACAGCAGGGAGTGGGAACCATAGGCTATATATTAGGTATAAATGGACAAAGTTAACCTGCTACCTGCTGCATTCTAAATGGGAAGTGAGTAAGGGGGCGCTTCCAGCTCCATCAACTCCAATTGACTCAACATGTCATGAAAGATAGGACGCTGAAAAATTGTCACATCTCTCTCTGTAAATGCTGCAGTGAGCCTCGTCATTTTGGTCTTAAACATTTTCATATTAACCCACTCTATATACATGATCCTAATGTTTTTATTTCACTATTTGTTAAGAAATTCCTATTCTTAATATGGATACTCGCTCTAAATTTGTTCATATAATTGCAAGCCTTGTGAGCTTTATTTGACTGGAGCTGAATGCTTTAGGTCGTTGTTAAACAAAGTCTGGGTCGCGATCTGCATGTAAGTCTGCAATATACAGTTCTGACACATGTTGAAATGTTAAGAAATGTTTTGTATAATTTCTAATCTTTCTGTAATAATTTTATTGATTATTTTGTTCCAATATTGCTGATTCAATTAAATGTTGAAAAGAAAATGAAATGGGCTACATTTAATGCCCAAATAGGTTTCTTGTGGGTACCTTTTATTGCTAGTTCAATGACTATTTTTTATTGTTTAAAACTTGAGTAATACTAATTGTTCAGAGAGAAACGATCACTCAGTCAAATATAAAACATCCTCATTACTGTTCAGTAATGCTCAAATCCACCTTTATGTTGTGATTTACGAATAATAATAATGACTTGGGTTGCAAAGATTTGTGACTTTTAAAATATGGGGCCCTAGATAAAAAGGTTGGGAAACACTCCTTTAGGTGACGTCATACTTAGTCCACTTCTTTATACAGTCTATGGTTGGAACCTACACAGTCACAGGTACAGATGTTTTGCAATAAAGCTTTGATAAACATTTTTCCCTTTGGAGTCCAGTGCTCTGTCTGGTTACTGTAAATATGCATTATGTATATGAACTGGTGGCCTGTTAACAGCAAATGTGCCCTTAAAAGCACATGATTTTTACTGTCTTAAAATATGAACAGAACTAGTTAATTTTACATCACTTATAGTGGTCCAAGTAGTCCATTCTCGACAATCCTAATTATTCACTGTGATGGGTTTATAAGCACTTTTCTCTTTCAGAGCAGAGTTTTGCCATCACAGTAATGTAAACAACAACTACCATGCTAACAGTGTGCACTTCCTGATTATCAGACAATAAAATGCTTTATATTTAGATGCAGGTAGTACACAGTGGACTTATTTTGACCTTAAGAGCTGCTTATGCAATACAGTATCGGGAGGGAAAACAAATTTTGCTCAAATTTTGGGAAAAACTTGCTGAACCATGGAGTAGAATTTCATATTGAGAGAATAATTGTATTTTTATGACTGTGACTGTGTATCACCCACCAGTACTGCAGATTGGCATGTGTCTAACTGTCTACCTTCTGTTTCTTTTCCTGGAATGGCAGAGCATATGTTTTATGCCTTTTCACAGCTCACCAAACCAGTGCCTACGGGCCTTTTGCCTTCCAGAGGTGAACTGCCCAGTCTGTCTATAGCTTTCATCTGTCACTTGTCTGCATATCAAAGGGCACCTAGTATGTCTTTGTGGAAGTGGGCATGAATTCCACTCATTCATATCAATCAAATAGAACAGAACCAGTAGCGTGTCCGTCTCATTTAAGAACCATTGCACTTGATTTCCCCCTGTAACTAACATACATCAACACCCTCCAATGCAAACATGTGTACTACAGAAGCATAATGCAGTGTATGTGTCTTAATTAGCCTCTACTCACCGGTCCGCTGTGTGTTTCATGATCTATGCCTCGTCCAGGTATTCTCTTTCAATCCTCTCCAGTGGAACTTGCCAAGGTTTTCCCAGGACACCAGCGCCCCATCTATCACAGTGGTGTGTGAAACAGCAGAGGGATGGAGCGTAAGGAAAAGCATTAGACACAGGTGCACACTGAACAGTCAGGAGGTAATACAGCCGCCTGAGCTAGCTGCAGTTTTGAGGCTTTAAATCATGTTTAATGTCCAAACCTCCGAGCTCACACAATGGCACTCTTCTGTGACAGTAGCTCCAAATGAAATGCAAAATTTAAAGTATGCTTCAAGAAAGTCATTCTGTTTAAAAGATGATACAACAAACAACAAACTTAGATAGAATCCCATTTTGTATTGTTTGTTGGAAGCAGGCAAGATACATGACACAAAAACATCGAGTAACACAACAAAAGTTTTCTTCGAATTTGGCTTGTTCAGTATATCATCAGAATTAATCAGAAACAAAAAAGCAATAATATTTGACTCTGTTCAACAACTTAGAAGGTTGGCGTGTGTATAAATACAATACAAGAAAAATCAAACTGCTTTGGTGAATGGCAAAAGCCAAAGCAGAATACAAATTAAAGAGAAGCCATGTGTCACGGTCACAAATTTAAATACATATTTTGGCTATGAATTGCATTGGACGTTTTCACACATTTCAAATAAATGAAGTCGCTTTCTGCTCCAAAACACAGCGTCATTATTTGATGCCAGCACAAGGTTGTTGCCCTGAGTTACTTCAGAGTTCCAGAGAAGTTTTCACTCAAAGGCCTGACTGCTAGCTTTTCATAAAAAGGCAAGTATCTAAATATTAAATACAATCTACTAAAGCTGCTATTTTTGGCCTATAGTGGCAGGATAAAAAAACAAAACAAACATATATACTACAGATACAGATCATTTGATAACTCACAATAACTCACACCTGAATATTGAAACATGTACAATCATGCTGCAAGTAACAGAGGTGTGCAATATACAATATCATGCATGTCATATTGATTTGAAAAACGGCAAAACCAACAGCCTAAAACAACAAAAAGGCATTTCTGTGTAAAATCAAAGACCAGTGTAATCCAAGGTTACAATCTTACTTTGTTCTGACATTTTCTTACAACACATTTTCTTTGGCTTTTAAAGACATTCAGTCCTTTGGAAAATAAATTCCCAACTTGACAATGGCATGATTAAAGCATAAATAGTAAAATCACCTTAATAAAATGTGGTTTCTAATGGAGCAGACCCAGCAGCAGAACTGTTATCAAGTGTTGGCAGTACAGTGGAGGTTTGTGCCTTTGATTACTGCGGACTCAAAACCAGTGCAGTGTGAAATTTTAACATGCACTCAATCTGCACAGGTGACGCATGGGTAAGAGCTGCTGCTGTAAAAAGACGCTCCTATAAATAAGTGTCTAGCTTTATTACATAATTAACCATGCTACAGGGCTAATGTGACTTTTGTGCTGAATACTGATTAGATAAACTATTCTAAACATCCCTACCTGAGGTGGTTTGAGCATATTTGCAAGTTTAAACTGTGATGTATAGACTTATAACAGTGGTTAAAATAGCTGCAGTCTATTATACAAAGAGTGTTTCCATTTGTAGTCAGCCTGGGTCCATGGAAAAACATGGAATCCATAGCATGTAACAAAATGTAGTAAAGCTTTACAGAGAGCACATCCTGGTGTATGACCTTGCCCACGGGATAATTGAAGTTTATAACATAATCTTTTTACAGCTCTGATCTGAGTGCGTTTAAAAGACATATTATCAATGCTTTGACAGTAACCTTACATAAATCAGAACATGTACAGTCAAGTTCAACATGGGGAGAGGATGGAAATGGGGATGATGGAGAGAGAGGTATCATATGACTCACTTTCATATGATGTAGAACAGAGTGTACAGAGGTAAGTTCACAAAATAGAATATAATAGTAGGCCTGTCAAGATAATTACTATACTGACATATAGTTCAATCTATGAAAGCTGGAACAATATATTTTGGAATAGTGGGGTGATTTTTGCCATTTATAATGTAAGATCTGAGCAGTAGCTGTAGCTGTTGAAAAAATAACTTATATTTTATTTATCAAATTAGGGGTTCATTCTGCAATCTTTTTGTTGCAGCTCTGTTTTTTAATAATACTGTCTGTTTAAAAATGGGTTTATTGTTCTGTAGCAATATATCATGCTTCAAAATTTGTTATTCCGACAAGCCTATCTAATAGAATAGTTAACCAATCTAAATTGACATGCAAGTTTAGCACACAGAGACACATTTTAAGTGTTAATGCAGATTATGAAGTGTTTTAGAGCTGGTCAGTAACCTCAATAAATACTTTACGGCAAAAGGGCAACTAATTAAAATAAAAAAGGTTGAGGAATTGAAGTTGATTTGAGAGGCGACTCCATTAGGGACCGATAAGTCTTGACTAAATATTTAAAAATAGAAAATTATGTAAACACTTGTCTAAATATTTAAAAATAGAAAATTATGTAAACACTTGTGGATCTTCTGACCAGTTAATGGGCAAGTTCACTCTGTGTGTACTCAGCCTATTAATATTAATACTATTCACTGAATTTAATTACTAACATTATCTTGTCCATGATTTGAATATAGGTAAAATAACACTGAGATATGGATGGGCAATATGGCTTATGGTTAAATCCAGCTGTCACTCACTCAGAGCCTTAAAGATACTGTTTGAGCTCGGAGCAGCATTAAAGGTGCACTGTGTAACATTTCTGGTGTAGGGTCTGCCATCTGCTTGTCTCAATGAAGATGTTATTTTGTCTGGAATGTTCTGGTATGGCATTAAATGTACCCATCCTGCATTTACTCAATAACATGGGATTTTATTGACCTAAAATCTATTCTTCTTAGTGTGAGTGGGCTTGCCTTTCCACAGATCTGACATATAACTTGGCCCTTTGGTATTACCTGCTGTCTTTGTAGAGATATTCAAGTGTATATAAGTTTCATGGAGAGAAGCGAGTGATGGACCCTGCACAACAAAAGTGACACAGTGCACCTTTAAACAGAGAAACAGTGAATCAAAATATTAAAATTTCACCAAAATAACAGAATGAATGAGATCACGATTTGATTTTTCTCAGTGTATCTCCCAGCTCTCCACTGTGGTAACACTTCAAGTTCTTTGGTACATGATTCTTTGTCTTTGGAGCTTGTCAGTCATTGAACATTTAGATTGTCAATCGGGCCACAAAGCACCATCATGATACAGATTGATGGAGTGAGTAGTCACCATTACCTGGTGTACCGTGGCCTTGACTTTACCAGCACTCTCAGAGCCAAAGGCAAAAATCAATACAAGTGCACATGCATTATGTATTCTGAGAGGAATCCAGCGAGACGTGGAGAGAGGAGTGGGAGACTTCTCCATCACTCAAGCAGCCAGGCACGGTTGCTCCTGCTTTTACAGCAACAGCAATAGTGTTACAGAGCTGAACATAATATAAGCACCCATCACAAGTAACAGTAATTTTGTACAAATAAAACACTTTTGTAACACTCCTAGATTTCATTACATCTGGTTTAAAACATGCATAATAATCAGTGGTTTAGTGTCTTGACCACTGGCTGATCCACATAAAACCGAGTCACTAGTTGGAATCTTGGTTATATGTGCATATTCTTGTGGCTTTGAGCAAAACACTTAACCCACACTGTCCACTTTAGTGACAGTAAGTAATTTTGTACAAGTAAAATTATTTTGTAACATTCCTAGATTTGATTATATCTGGTTTAAAACATGCTTAATAATCAGGTGGGGTAGTGTCTTGACCATTGGCCTATTCACATTAAAACGAGTCACTAGTTTGAATGGCGGTTATGTGCATGTTATTGTATCTTTGGGCAAAACACTTAACCCACACTGCCCACTTCAGTGACAGTAATTTTGTACAAATAAAATTATTTTGTAACAGTCCTAGATTTCATTTACATTTGGTTTAAAATGTGCTTAATAATCAGTGGTGTAGTGCCTTGACCATTGACCTATTCACATAAAAAAAAAAAAAAAAAGTTAAGAGCGGTCACTAGTTCCAATCTTGATTATGTGAATATTCTTGTGTCTTTGGGCAAAACACTTAACTGACACTGCACACTTCAGTGACAGTAAGTGCTTTGGATTACATCTAGTGAGTTTGGTCAATTTAAAACAATGTCATCCTATAAAATACATGATCATACTATATCACTTTTACCCTAATATTATGTAGTTGTATTATTTGTTCTAACAAGGCTTTTGTTCATCTCTGTGTGTGGAAGGCTTTTTTTGGGGTAACTGCAAAATTTTGTTAAAGAAATTCAATAGACAAGGCTAAAAAGGTTTTGGTTGATAAAAGGCACACAGACAGGCTCGGTTGTTCATATATCGCTGTAGCACTATAGTTTATCCGGTTTATCCGAGTTTGATGCGCGTGTCTTGGTTGTAGAGCAGGACTTGGAGCAGAATGGCGACGTCGATGAGGATTTGAGCTGAACCGCAGAGCCAGAACTGAGCGGGGCTGTCATTCAGGACAAAGTAGGTGGTTTTGAAAACGTCACCAGCGGTCCACAGCAAGACCATCTTCACACTAGAGGAGAGAAAACAACAAAGAAGAAAGAGACGATGAGCGAAAAGCAGTGATAGTGAAAATATCTTCAACTACTGGCTAAGTAGGTCTGTCACGATAATTACTATAATGCCTTATTGTTCAATAAATAATAGCTGGAACAATATAATCTGGGCTCAGTATTTATTGTGTGTACATTTTCTGTGTAAAAGTGTAGTATTTTTGTTGTAATATAATAACATTTGACATAATAACTTGAATATGGCTGATTATTGGTTAATTTTGTTATTTGTCTGTTGTAGCTCAAGCCTTTTAACGATACTATATATTTAAAATGGCTCACTAGGATTATCTTGCATTATTGGTATTGTATCAGTGGCATAAAGTAGTTTCAATATTATCTCTGTAGCGATATATATTGTGCTTTGAAATGTGTTGTCATTGTGGCAGGCCTAACTGTACAATACAATTTTGTTTATAGAAAGTAGAAAGACCTTGAAAAGCACAGCAGCGTACAAAGCCACTACATCCCAATTCCCTAAAGCAGTCCCCAGACACCCTCCAGAGAACACAGTGTGACTTCTCCTCCTCACTTTGTCCTGGGTCCCTCATCAGTGCCCCCTCCACTTTGATCTGCTCTCATTTCTTGCCATGTTTGCTTAAAGATGACATATTAAGCTTTTTGGTTGTTTACTTTGAAACTATATGATATCATTTGACATTTTATTCATTGTAAACTGTAATATTGATCTAGAACGGCCTCGTAATAGAAAAAGGTCCACTGACTTTCTTCAAAACAGCAAGCCTGATATGCCCGCCTCTTCAGCCTTTAGTAGCATTTCACTGTTAACAAGCCGAAGATTTTAAATTACGTGTGTTTATTGTTGCAAAATGGCTACTTTTTTGATTTCTAATAAATAGAGAGCATTGGGTGGAGATAGGGCATAGATGAAAACAACATTTTCTGAGCATCAAGCCTTGAATTCAGGACAACACAGGAGCAATGATGGGAAGAATGCTTTGACAATGTATTTAGTTACAGAAATTCAGTATTCTGTAACTAAATACAAGCATTCTTCCCACCACTGATGTATTTTGTAACATATTCTGATACATGAGACAGATATTCTGAATACTTAGAATATGTTTACACAGAGTTGCATTATGTTAATTACATAATAATTCTTTTTGTTGCATTAATTCATGTCCAATTAGGGATGAAAAATCACACAGAACAGTGTTTTCTTTATTCTCACTAATACCGTGCAGTTCAAAGCCAAAATTGCATGATGAAACCAAATGAAAAAGTACTGGAATACAGGTACTCAAAATTCAACACTGAGCACGATTATTCAGACATGCATGAATTGTTAAAACTTTGAGTACGTTAATGATAATGGGACACACACTGCAATAACATGGTTAAAATCTCATAAAAGTCCATTTTCTAAGTCCTTCCTTCATTCATTAGAGGCTCTTACTGTCCTCCACCTCGCTATCTCTCTCTCTCTCTCTCTCAGTACTCTGCTCTCCCAGATGTAGCAGAGGTTGATTCCGTTTATTCTTGCTGACTTCGTATAAGGCAAAGCTGGATTCCTCATCACTCATCGCTGATACAAACAGTTGGGGCGCGGGGGTGAGGGAGACAGTCAAGAGCATGTAACTGTACGGGACACAGCCTGGACTAGGACTACACACCCCAGGAGACAGGACTGTGCACTAGAGGAGACAATATAATGACTATGGAGACTGCTGTCCTATCCTTGAGTTCTCCTTGTGCACTAGTGTCAAGCTTCCAAGTCTCCCCAGGGCTCCTCCCTCAGGCCAATAGGGAACGTGGCTGTTAATGGCAAAATATGGCAGCGGAATAGAAATGGTGCAGAAATGAGAACGTAATTATTTAAAAATATGTGCAGATGTGCTGAATCCAAGGCGGACGTGGTGATAAAATGTGAACCAGAGCAGCATAGAGATGAGCCTTAATTTGATAGTAGAAGAAGATGGGAAGGAGCAGTGGCCTGGGACATCTGGATCCTCTCAGATACACACTGAGATCTACAGTCTTGTGTTTACTCTGCTCAAACAGGGAGATGGTGATTCGAACAGGGATTTCTGACACCGAGATGGACTGTCCCTACATAAATTGTCAAATCCCACAAAACATGGCAGCACAATATACCACGATCAAATAATAAACATTACAAGTGTCAGTTTGTTATGTCTATAGCACATTTCGTATGTATAGTGTGTAACTTATTTTGCTATATGTAAATATTTGTACATCATTTTGAAGCTTTGGAATGAATGGGGGTGAGTTAACATGAGTTTTTCTTCTTCCTACTCCTTTTTTAGAAGTATGCTTGAGAAGTATGCTTTGTTTACAATATGTAGTATGTGTATGATTTTCTTTTTGCTCTTGGCACAAACTCTAAATAAAAACAAATTAATCAATCAATCAATTAGTTGGCACAATTCTCAAATACTGGGATAAATGATAATATTGAAAATATCTTTTGCCACTGACACAAAGCAAGATAATGTCAGTACACCAATTTTTATATACAGTATTATTATAAAAGGCTCAGCTGCAACAATAGCATTAAATGGTAGACAGTGAGTCATTTATCATATACAGCAGGGGTCACCAAACTTTTTTACTCTGGGGGTCACATTAACACTCCTGACTGTGATGGGGGAGCCGGGGTCAGGTAGGCCGACAAAGGAATACATGCTGTTGAGCAACCAGTCCGCCTTTCATCCACCGAATCCTATTTTCTCCCGTCTGCCCTCGCAAGCTAGAATACTCTTTGTAGAGGGTTTCGTAGAGTCAACGCAGATTATATTCTTTGAAAACCGCCACAGTTTCTTTACATATTAGACAAACTGCACGGTCCTTACACTGAACAAAAAAATAATCGGTCGTCCACTGTTCTTTGAAGACTTGGCACTCTCACCTTTTTGTATTTTAACACAAGTCATTTTGTTGTCCTTAACTGCACTACAGTACTCTGCACATGTGTTGACTGTCACTGTTTGATCTTGAGCTTGTCAAGTGAAGAAAATTTGGCAGCAAATGTAAATACGTCATATAATTATTTAAATATAAATACTTCATATAAATATAATTTTTTTATTGAAGAAATCAACAAAATACAAGATGCAGACATGTTATTATTTGCCAAAATGTAATGTAAAGACATAGGCTATACAACTTTTGAGGATTGCCTCCTAGGGCCAAGTGGAGGAGGGCAGCAGGGCTGGTCAAAGGGGCATGGTGGGCTGGAGTTGGCCCGCAGGCCTTAATTTAGATGACTCCTTAAATATAACAGTCTTAATAGATAAACAATATCACACATTCCAAAAACGCTGATGAACAAAATACTAAATAGAGCAGATTAAAAACAAGGCTCTGTGAATAAGTATCCCTATGATATCAAACATGATTCTATTTGAAAATAAGAAGTCTCAATACATTGCCATTTTCCTCTCTCCATTCAACTCCGCACTTTTAAGGCAGAGCTTTTTGATTTTGCTTCCTCAGTCTGATCCACCCACATCAATTTAACCACTGCAGGCTTCAGCACAAATCATGCCATTTCCACCCTGACTGACCACAGAGTGCTTGTTTAGAGCCTCACTCATGTGTGCCGCCTCCCTCACAGTCTCGACCAGGCCTTTGATTGAACTGCTCCAAAAATAACAAGTGCTCAAGCATTTAAAATTGTCACGCTTTTACTTTCCCCCCTCTCATAAATCTTCAGGGAGCGCTCTGCTTTTGTTCTTTCGCTTCACAGCGTACTTTTGAATCTTACATTTCACTGCTAGTCTGCTCCTTTCTAGCACCGCATCATTGTCTTATCATCGCTGTTCTTTTCTATACAGTGAGAATCACAGACTGTATAAAGAAGTGGACTAAGTTCCATATTAGCAATAGGCATTTATTTACAGACAAAAAGCAAAACACATCATGTACACAGAGCAGGTTAATACAGTCATTTCAAAACCAGTTGATGGAGCCGGAAGAGCTCCCATGTTCACTTCATATTTGAAACACAGCAGCTATGTCCATTTATATATCCAGTCTATGATCACTTCAGAGTCATTTGTATTTTTATTAGCTCTTAGTTGGATTTTTAGTTGGTTGAGTTACCTTTTTAGAGCTCCAACTTCATGCCTCCACAGACTGACTGTCAGGGCAACAAAGTAGATCACTTTCATCACAGTTACCCCTGCTGTGCGCCTGCTACTCGTGCCATGAACCCCCCAGCCTCATCTATCACCACAGATAAAACTAGAAATTAAACATCAAATGGCCTGTGAAGGTGAATTTCTTTAGGTTGCACGATCATTCAGACCTTATCTGGAAAGGGCTATGTTTCTTAGCATCCAATTCAGTTTATCTAAAAGTAACGAAGTCTGCTTGAGTGCCTATCAACCAACACAAGATGAATCAGCAGTAGTTTAGTTCCACTGATGCAAGAGCAAGTACGAAGGGCGGCACGAGACAAGAGACTGGGTCCACAAGAAAAGCACAAGACAAGATTATGGTAAATAAATTAAATGCACATCTTCTCAATTGTGTAACTCACCAGCATAATAAAACCCATCTCTACATGTGTAGTTGCTGCATTTTTATCCCACCAGATTATGGTACGAGATCTTGTCTCATTCCTTATAAATACACAATGTTGCTTAGGTCCAAACATTTGGATCTAAAACTTAGCAAACAGGACTATGTAGGTACAGACATGCTACTGTAAATAAATAATATAAATTTAAATATATATAATAAATATAAATAAATAAATATCATACTGTGCAGTTCATACCGTGACAATATTGTATCGTGAGACTTGGATATTGTTACGTCCCTAATAGATACAAAACATTCCCTTAACATTTTGCTTATTCAAGAACAAATATGTAGATAAATGCCTCTTTTTGGTTCAATGTTTAACAACTTGTAAAAAAAATAAATAAAAAAATCTAAAAGCTTCAGCTTAGACAACTTTTTAATCAAA